ACTCATTGGAAAAGAGCTGGGAAACATTGAAGACGAGAGGAGAAGGGGACGACAGAGGATGAGATGGTTTGATGGCATCACCGACTCAATGGATATGAGTTTGAGTAAACTCCGGGAGTTGGCGATGGACAGGGAGGCCTGGCGTGCTGCGACTGAGCTGAACTGAACTCAACTTATACTTGAAACGGCATCCATTTGGAGAATAAAGAGGGCAAGTGAGAGTTGAGAGCCTGTGGAGGAGAAGCTGCGGCTCTGAGTTAGAGCATAATATCAGATAGAGTTAAGATGAAAGTAAAATGTCCCGTCCACCTGGTTTGCAGGTTGTTGTTCAGTCGCTCAGTCGTGTCTGACTCCTTGTGACCTCGTGGTTTTCTTCGAAACCCCTGAATCTGTCTGAGGAATGGCAACTCTCAAGGTAAAGACATTAATAATAATGAACACTAACAATTAACTTTGTGCTGGGCATCCTTCTGAGTTCTTTACATGTATCACATCATCTAATGCTCACAGCCTCTCCACCCTCTTCATGTTGTTACTGATGAGGCAGTAAGTCTGGAGTAAGGAAGTCTTTTGCTGATGGTACAATGGCTGTGACAAGCGGAGCCGAAGTGTGCCTTGTTAACCACTAACTCCCCAGCCTCTCCCAGCGTGGGGAGATCGTCAGAGGACATGGCTTCAGTCCAGAGGAGGGTCAGTGCTGGAGGAATATCAATATGACAGCCATAAGTTTCCACTGATGCTCTCGAACTGTGGTGCTGGAGACTCTTGAAAGTCCCTTGGAATACAAGATCAAACCAGTCAATCCTAAAGGAAATCAACCCTGAATATTCATTGGAAGGACTGATGCTGAAACTGAAGCTTCAATGCTTTGGCCACCTGATGTGAAGAGCTGACTCATTGGAAAAGACCCTGATGCTGGGAAAGATTGAGGACAGGAGGAGAAGGGAGCAACAGAGGATGAGCTGGTTGGATGGCATCACTGACTCAATGGACATGAATCTGAGCAAACTTGGGGAAATAAAATAGTGAAGGCAGGGAAGACTGATGTGCTGCTGTCTTTGGGGTCCAAAGAACTGGAAACGACTTAGCAATTGAACAACAACAGCAACAAGCTTCCATGTGTTGTAAACTATAGCAGAATATTGTAAGGTATTACAATATTGGAAGGTTCCTGGATCATATTCCTTACATGCTAGGTTATAATTATTTATCAAAAACTTTTTTAATTAAAAAACTTTTTTTTTGGCTGCACCGAGAGGCATGTGAGATCTCAGTTCCCCCACCAGGGATCGAATCCATTCCCCCTACAGTGGAAGCATGGATCCTTAATCACTGAACCACCAGGGAATTCCCCTTCAAATTATATTTATTTAAGAAAGATGCTTTTGTCACTGGATTCCAGTTCTGAGTCTGGGGACAGTACCTACCATTTAAAACCTCATGTTCATTTTTCAAAAAAAAAAAAAATCTCAGTCACATTGAGGCCCGTGGGCTCTCAGTTTCCCAAACAGGGGTTCTAACCACTAGACATCCAGGGAACTTCCCAGGGAATAGACTGGAGGTAGGGAAAGATTCAGGTGAATTTCCATAGAGACAATAAACCAGCTTGTGATGTTCTTATGTGCTGGGGATAAACCCAATTCTGTCAACTTTTTGACCATCTACACCACTCTGAAATTCTTGTTGTGACTCTCTGGAGATTAACAGTGATATTGTCAAATAAGACTTGGAGACTCCAGACAGGAATATCCCTATGGGCTCTACCACCATTTATCTTTGAATCTGAGAGGCTGAGACCTGGGACCAGCCACTGGAGCGCCTGCAACTGGACAAAGGCCTCCTCCAGCAAGATTCAAAAGATCTAACATCCGTGTGCACTCAGCACAGTTATGCAGTAAGATACAAAAGGGCCACAAACCAACTGCTGATTCTGGGATGCCTGGAGCAAAAGCTGGGTGCTTCACAGGATCCCAACACATGGCACCACCAGAGGGTGTGCAGACTGCCCGGGCCACCTCTCTGGTGACCTACGACCTCTGGATCCTCGCCCACCCTCCCCCCCATTTAAGGAACCAGCCTGCTGTCCTCCTGGAACCAGCCTGCTGTCCTCCAGAAGGAGCCAGGGCACCTGTCATTTGTCCTTGCTCCGTTGTGCTGCAGTGAGAGTCCCAGAAAAGCCTTGCTTGAATTTCTCATCTCACCTCTGATCCACTTCTGTTCATCAAGGAATCTGAGGATCTGTGTTGGGAACTAAACAAGCTTTCTTTGGGAAAGGAATTAAATATATGCATGTGTGTGTGTGTGTGTGTATATGTATATAACCATTATATTCCACCATTATATTCAGCTTATAGGTCATTAAAAATTAAGTTGTCAAAAAGTAATAAAACAGTATTTGTAACAGTGACATGACATGACATGCATGTGCTCAATCCTCTCTGACTCTTTGCAACCTCATGGACTGTAGCCCACCGGGTTTCTTTGTTCATGGGACTTCCCAGGCAAGAAATACTGGAGTGAGTTGCCGTTTCCTTCTCCAAAAACATCTTAAAAATTTTTTTTTAAATTGTATTGGAGTATAGCCAATTAACAGTATTGTGATAGTTTCAGGTGAAGAGTGAAGGGGCTCAGTCATACATACACACGTACCCACTCTCCCCCAGACTCCCCTCCCATCCAGGCTGCCACATAACCCTGAGCAGAGTTCCCTGTGTCTACAGTAGGTCCTTGTTGGTTATCCATGTTGAATATAGCAGTGTGTGCATGTCCATCCTAAACACTCTATCTCTAGCTCCTATCTTTCCTTACCTAACCAGCAACCATAAGTTCATTCTCTAAGACTGTGAGTCAAAACCATCTTAAGAAACCCTCTCCATTAACACAAACAATAAATCTGAGTCCTAACACTTTTGAAGGATAATAAAGCAAGTTTCTCATAGAAATTCTGGCCTTTGCCACTGTTAGGGGGGAAAAAAAGAGTGATGTAAAACATTCCTTTCATTTTTTTCTTGAATTTTAGGCTTCCCTGATGGTTCAGATGGTAAAGAAGCTGCCTGCAATGCAGGAGACCTGGGTTCGATTCCTGGGTTGGGAAGATTCCCTGGAGAAGGGAATGGCAACCCACTCCAGTATTCTTGCCTGAAGAATTCCACGGACAGAGGAGCCTGGCAGCCATAGTCCACGGCTTGCAAAGAGTCAGACACAATGGAGCCACAGTCACTTTGGGGCTCACTATGAGGCTTGTAGGACCTTAGTTTCCCAACCAGGGGTTGAACTAGCCCCCACAGTGAAATCACCGAGTGTGGACCACCAGGGATTTCCCCCAAATCCTTTTCATTTTACCACTCTCCCCACTAGGGGCTGACTGGTAGAATCAGGTCATTTTTCAAAAAGGTATTTTTTATAGAAAGGTTTTAGGTTCACTGCAGAATTGAGAGGAAGGTTACTGAGTTCTCATATGCCCCCTGCCCCCCACTCACACACCCTTCCCCTCTTATCCACATCCCCCAGCAGAGAAGCACATTTCCTATGAATACAATTGTACTGAAAATCCCTTGTGTTTTGCATTTTCATCCCTCCCCTTTCCAGTCAGGTCATTTAAAAAACGGTTTCCCAGGTGGCGTTAGTGGTAAAGAGCCTGCCTGCCAATATAGGAGACACAGGAGAGGCAGGTTCGATCCAAGAATCGGGAAGGTCTCCTGGAGGAGGGCATGGCATTCTTGCCTGGGAAATCCCAATGTCAGAGGGGTTGGCTGGCTACAGTCCACGGGGCCACAAAGAGTTGGACTCGACAGAGCATACAGGTATTTTAAAAAATATCCATCTTCAGATATGTCTGGGAGGAGACCAAGTCTCTTGCAGCCTACCTCATGGAGTCTGCGGTAATCTTTCCGAATTCATTTGAACAATCCATTTTGGAACGTCGCCATGTCTAGGCAGGGGATCATGAAACAAGCATTTAAATTCAAGACCCAGCTGAGGCTAGGCCCTGCCTGGCACAATGGTCTCCTTGTGGCCGAATCAGGACGGCTGGAGAGCCCTCGCTGTCGGAGCACGTGGGGCTTCCCAGGCGGCTGGGTGAAGAATCCCCCTGCCCAGCGCAGGAGAGGCAAGTTCCATCTCTAGTCGGGGAAGATCCCCCGGAGGAGGAAATGACCCACTCCCGTATTCTGGCCTGCAGAATCCCATGGACAGAGGAGCCTGGCAGGCCACACTCATGGGATCACAAAAGATGAGAATGAGCATGCAGGCATTGGCGCACCCCCTTAAGGCAGAGGGACTTCTTCCCCTGTGAGCCCGATTCCGTATCAGTGTAGTCAGCTGATGAAAGCAATTGAAGTAAACCATTTTCAGTTTGCTAGCTGTTTGCAACCAGAAACAAATTTATGAAGATAAAAAAGGCATTATTAACTTTTATTTTTATATCGAACTTTCTGATAGTTTAATCCAAAAATATTCAATACTTTTTTTTTAAACGTTGAAAACCAATGTTGGGGAGCTCAAAGAATAAACTAATAGGTAAAATGTTCTTGTTTAATTTATTTCCTGGGACTTTCAGTCATTTGGATAAATATTTGGATAAATAAATCTTTTCAATTTAGGATGAAAGATTTCACTTGCATGGGATTTTTAAAATTTCCATTGGAAATACACTGGCTTGTTTTTCAAAAAAAAGTTTTGTTGTTCAGTCACTGAGTCATGTCCGACTCTTTGCGACCCCATGGGCTGTAGCACACCAGCCTCCCCTGTCCTTTACCATTTCCCGGAGCTTGCTCAAACTCAAGTCCGTTGAGTCGGGGATGCCATCCAACCACCTCCTCCTCTGTCAGCCCCTTCTGCCTTTCACAACATTTATTCGTGAGGTTTTATGGAAATTGTAGCTGAAGATGTCTGATAGGATTAGAATAGGTGGGGCTTGCTGTTTCTGACCAGATGGTCTTTGTTTCCTGACTAGATTAGGATCTTGAGATGAGAAGGGTGGGGCTGATTACTTTTGTTTGATGGCTCATTTACCTTTTAAATACACACATCTTTTCATTTCCAGTCCACCCAAGGAGAAGAAAGGACCACAGGCGCTGGGAATCCACCTGGAGAGTTCATACCAGACTTCGTTGGAGGTAGGCTGTTCTTTCCCCTTCCTTGAAAGTCAAGCGTTTTACATTTGTACGTTGGAGTTCTGAATTTTCATGTTAGAAAATGGTGCTCCCAGGACGTCCCCACTACTTTCAATGGCTTTGAATCCTCAGCACCATGGCCACGGTTCGTTTCTGACTTCACTGTTTTCTGTGCTCAGCTTGCTTTTCTTGTTCTCTAGCGGAGAACCCACCTCTAGCACAAGAACCCAACTTGGCCCCACGGTCTGTGCACGGGCTCATTGCAAAAGTGCAGCTGAACTTCTGTTCCTTTTCCCCCCAGTTCAGCTCCGTTTTATATGCCAATGTCATATCTGTACCCATTACCTTCATCTTGTTTAGTCGCTCAGTCGTGTCTGACTCTTTTTGACCCTCTGGACTGTAGCCTGCCAGGCTCCTCTGTCCCTGGGATTCTCTAAGCAAGAACAGTGGAGTGGGTTTTCATTTCCTTCTCCAGGGGATCCTCCCAACCCAGGGATCGAACCTGTGTCTCCTGCATTGGCAGGCAGATTCTTTAGCACTCAGCCACCAGCGAAGCCCCCAAGATTGTTTTTGATAATTTTGTTTTCTTTTGTTTCTTTTTTTTTTTTGGTCTGGCTCTGCCATGCACGTCATGTGGGATCTTAGTTCCCTGACCGGACTGAATCCTCAACCCCTGCACTGGGAGTATGGAGTCTTAACCTTTGAATTGCCAGGAAGTCCTTGGTTTTTTTTTTTAGATAAATTTGTTTGTTTGTTTTTTGGCAAGGGGACATGTGGGATCTTAGTCCTCCGAAGTCAAAGAAAGTGAAGTCGCGTCTGACTCTTTGAGACCCCATGGACTATAACCCACCAGGCTCCTCCATCCAGTGAATTCTCTAGGCAAGAGTACTGGAGTGGGTTGCCATGTCCTTCTCCAGGGGAATCTTCCCAACCCAGGGATCGAACCCAGGTCTCCCACACTGCAGGCAGACACTTTACCATCTGAGCCACCGGGGAAACGGTCCTCCAACCAGAGAGCAAACCTGCGCTCCTGCAGAGGAAGCAGAGGCTGCCAGGGAATTCGCCACGATTTAATTTTTTAGAGCAGTTTTAGTTTTACGATACAATTGAGAGGAAAGTACAGAAATTTCCCATATGCTTCCTACCTTACCTGTGTGTAGGCCCTCCCCCTCAACATATATTAACCAATCATTACCAACAAAGCCCATGGTTTTCCTAAGGGTTCACCTCTTTTTTGTTTGTTTGGGTTTTTTCTCCCTTGTCACCTATTTTTAAGGGTTCTCTCTTGGTATTGAACATTCTTCAGTTTGAACACACTTGTAATAACATAAAACCCTTAACACAGTATCATTCAGAGGATTTTTCACTGCCCTAAAGACCCTTCATGCTCTCCTGCTCTGCCTGTTTCTCTCTCCCTTTCCCCAGCCCCCTGGCAACTAATCTTTATTTATTTGGCTCAGTCAGGTCTCAGGTTCCGCTGAATCTTTAATTAAGGCACGGGAGAACTCTTAGTTGCAGAATGTGGGACCTTAGTTCTCTGACCAGGGATTAAACCCAGGTCCCCAGCATTGGGAGTGCGAATCACTGGACCACCAGGGAAGTTCCGAAACTAATCTTATTATTGTCCTCATAATTTCCCTTGTTCCAGAATGTCATATAGTTGGAATCATGCAGTATGTAGCTTTTTCAGATTGGCTTCTTTACTTAGGAATATGCATTTAATTTTCCTCCACATGTCTTTCTATGATGATGGCTTATTTCTTTTTTGCTCTGAATGATATGCCATTGTCTGGATATATCAGTTTATTTACTGAAGGACATCTTGGTTGCTTCCAAGTTTTTCAATTATGAATAAAACTTCTGTAAACATCTGGTCCAAATGACAGTGCTGCTGAGGTTGAGAAATCCTTGTTTACACGAATAGGTAACATCTACTCTCTGTATCCTCAAATTATGAATTTGTCTCCTTTTTTGTTTCTGTTTAAAGAATGAATGAATGAGAATGAAGGGTTTTATTTCTTTATACATTTTGAAATAACATATTCACAGCTACTTTAGAACAGTCTTTTAGCAATTTTTTAAATATCTTGTATGACTTTTGCCCACTATGAAAGAATTTTTAAAAATACATACACTAAAAAAAAACCCACATACACAAGGGATTTTATACATTTTTTAGTTTCAAAAAGAGGAACACATCAATGTTTAATTTTGAAACTACAAATTGCATAGAAACCATATTCTTAACAAATATCTTTTTCCTCTTATTTGTTTCTCTAATCCTTATAACCAATATACTATTTCTACTAATTGTCCTTCAAGAGAGCGAAGTTACCTCAAAAGGGAGCAATAAGGAAACGCAAGCATTAGAAAAACTGAAAAAGAGGTCAGAAGGCAATTATTACTTGTGATAAAAAATATCCATTGAGCAGAAGTTGAACAAATGACTCCATAATCTGTGAAAGTAGGAAAATGTTCACTGGTGGCAACTTAGAAAAGATGGATAAATCAGTAACTCATAAGAAAAAGTGAAGTTACAAAAAAGCCTTTGAACCATACTTTAGAGATATTAAAATTTTTTAAAAATAAATAAGCCTAAAAAAAATAAATAAGCCGGGAGGTACTTCCCTGGTGGTCCAATGGTTAGGATGCTGCACTTTCACTGCCACGGACCCAGGTTTAATCCCTAGTTGGGAAATTCCCTGTAATGTAATACTTTCTTTTTAAAATGCAGAGAAAAATGAAAGATGAAACTAAGACGTCTTCACGAAGAAAGACAAATACTGTGCAATATCAGTTATATGTGGAATCTAAGAAATACAACACACTAGTGAATGTAATGAAAAAGCAGCAGACTCACAGATACGGAGAATACACTAGTGATTAACAGTGGGGGGAGGGAGGCAAGGAGGGGCAGGATGAAGGGGGACGAACTGCTAGGTGTGAAATAAGCTGCAAGGATATGCTGTACAACATGCAGAACACAGCCAATATTTTGTAATAACTACACATAGAGTATAACCTTTAAAAATCATGACTCGTTATATTGTACACCAGTATGACTTCCCAGGTGGCGCTGATGCCAGTGCAGGAGACATAAGAGACGTGGGTTCGATCCCTGGGTCGGGAAGATCCCCTGGAGAAGGAAAAGGCAACCCACTCCTGTATTCTTGCCTGGAGAACCCCATGGAGAGCGGAGCCTGGTAGGCTACAGTCCACGGGGCCGCAAAGAGTCGGACACGACTGAGCGACTTCACTTTCTTTCATGCTTCAATTAAATGAAAATAAGGGACTCCTCTGGTGGCTCAGTGGTTAGGACTCCACGCTTCCACTGCAGGGGGCACAGGTCGGACCCTGGGCTGGGGGACAGATCCCACAAGCCACCTGGGGCAGCACAAAAAAGAAGGAAAAGCAGTTATTTATTATTTTTAAATTAATATGTTTACTTTATTGAGGCATAGTTGACTTACAATGTTTCAGGTGCATATCAAGGTGATTCAGTTATATATACACACATGTTTTTCAGATTATTTTCCATTATAGTTTATTATAAGATGTTGACTATCATTCCCTGTGGTATACAGTAAACCTTTGTTGCTTGTTGTGTATCTATGCTTTTAAAATTAGGAATCTAGCATTCTATTCATACTGAGTCAAACAAGTGGAGTCAAAATGTCCTAAATATTTTAGCTAGGGAAACATGCCTACGTTTTCTAAAATATATATATCATATTTTACATACTATTTATATATGTGTACATGAAAGCCTTTCTACTACGCTTGATAAAAGCTTGAGAAAGAACACCAAATAAAAGAGAGGAAGAAAAAGTAGCTATTACTGGAAAGAGAAAAGAGCAGATGTCTTCTGAGACTGGAACGACTAAGGATAAAGGGCGCCCACTGCTCTCCACAGGCTTCTCCCGCCTGGGTTCTGCCCCCCTGGGGAAGGGACCCTCTTGCGGGTGACATGGCCTGTTTCCTGCCTTGCTTGCTGGTGAGGGAACCCTGTTTCAGGTTTGGAAGACTCCAGAGCAGTCGGAGGAAATAGGGGGAGCCTGCCTTCTCTGATGAGGCAGAAACTCCAGGAAGACGCCCTCTCAGGACCTTTGCTTGTTCTGTTCTGCATCTGAGGCTGGGTTCTGAGAAAGCTGACTGTTCTTCCTGCATCCACTTGGCAAGTTTATGCGTGTGCTCCGCCGCTTAGTCGTGTCCCAGTCTTGCGACCCCATGGACTGTAGCCCGCCAGGCTCCTCTGTCCGTGGGATTTCTCTGGCAAGAAGACTGACGTGGGTTCCCATTTCCTCCTCCAGGGGATCTTCCCCACCCAGGGATCAAACCCAAGTCTCCTGCATTGGCAGGTGGGTTCTTTACCCCTGACCCATCTGGCAAATTTATGGACCATTGCAAATCAGGCTGAACGGACTCAGAGACAATCATGCCTTTGAAAACTCTGACGGGAAAGAGGCATGAAGGCGGACTCCTGGAGGGCCTGCAGGCGGCTGACCTGATGACTCCCCCCGTACACACTAGAGCCTGCACCCTCGGGTCCTTAAGAATCCTTTGATCGTAGTGCCTGGGCTTGTCTGATGGCTTTGTGGTCAAGAATCCGTCCACCAATGCGGGAGACAAAGTTTCGATCCCTGATGCGGGAAGATTCCCCATGCCGAGGAGCAACGAAGCTCCACGCCTCCCTCCCTCCAACTAAGCACCACAACTGCAAAGCCTGTGCCCGAGGGCCGGGGAGCCGCAACCACTGAAGTCCTCGAGCCCTAGAGCCCCGGCTCTGCGAGAAGAGAAGCCTCCACAATGAGAAGCTCGCTCACAACTAGAGAGCAGCCCCTGCGCGCTGCAACTAGAGAAAAAAGCCAGGAAGACCTGGCACAGCCCAAAATACATAAATCAATACAATTACTATTTTTTAATTATTAAAAAAAGAAAGAAAGCTTTGATTACTGTACCTGTAAGTCGCTTCCACTCGTTTGATGAGAAAAATAAGCCGATAGTGAGATGTCTCCTTGATCCTTTTTGTGCACTCTCATCGTTTGTGCCAGATTAAGTCTCTTCTGTCCTATCCGACTCTGCGACCCCATGCCTCCTTTGTTCAGGGGGTTATTCAGGCAAGAACACTGGAGTGGGTTGCCATGCCTTCCTCCAGGGGATCTTCCTGACCCAGGGATCAAAAATGCATCTCCTGCGAGACCTGCCTTGCAGGCAGATTCTTTACCGTTGAGTGACCGGGAAAGCCCCCATAGTTATTTACTTGAAGGCAAAGGATTACTAGTAGAATCAAAGGATCCAGGAGATGTGTAAATTGTGAGAGGTCAAGGGAATTCTATGGGTTTATGCCACCCAGTGGGGTCGGCCCCTGCCCAGCAGGGACCGTCTGGGGACAAGCGAGGGCTTTTCTGAAGGGTCCAGGCTGTACTGGAGGACTGGGCAGCTCCGGACATTCCGCTTTTTCATGGCTCTCTTCTGTTTTCCCTCAGCTCTTCCTTCCCGAGACTGTCATGGCTCAAAAAGAACAGGAAGTGAGCAACATCCAGGTGAGTCTGTTTTTTTTAAATCCAAATCATCATCTCAAATAAGCACACATGTCATCTGTATTCCCATTCCTCAGAATTAACCTCTGCTAACCTCTTTCTCAGTTTTTCCTTCCCTCCGCCATCCCCTCCCTTCCCTTCCTTTGATTGGCTCCACAGTTATCTGGGGCCAGCGTCCTGTTTTCACATCCTGAATTCCCTCGGGTCTCACCAACTTCCCTTAATCGCTGGACTGTGACATCCTTCGCTTACTGATCTGGGAGACAATATCTTATTTCTCGCATGTCTAAAGGAAGGGTGCCCTTTCCCCCTAGTAGCTCAGTTGGTAAAGAATCTTCCTGCACTGCAGGAGACCCTGGTTTGATTCCTGGGTTGGGGAGATACGCTGGAGAAGGGACAGGCTGCCCACTCCAGGATTGATGAGTTTCCCTGGTGGCTCAGCTGGTAAAGAATCCACCTGCAATACAGCAGACCTGGGTTCGATCCCTGGGTTTGGAGATGCCCTCCAGAAGGGAAAGGCTACCCACTCTCCAGTATCCTGGCCTGGAGAATTCCATGGACTATACAGTCCATGGGGTCACAAAGAGTCAGACAGGACTGAGCGACTTTCACTTTCACTTTTTGCCCTTTTCCCAAAACAAGGAAAGCTGGGGCATGTCACAATCCAATTTCCACACCCTGTGAAAAACAGATTGGAAGGCATCAGTTTAGAAGCAGTGAAAGAGTTTAGGTGTTGTTTAGTCATCAAATCATGTCCAATCATTAGGCCCCGTGGACTACAGCACGCCAGCCTTCCCTGTTCTTCACTGTCTCCCAGAATTTGCTCAAACTCGTGTCCATTGACTCGGTAGTGTCATCCAACTGTCTCATCCTCCGTCATCCCCTTTTCCTCCTAGAGTTAGGATGCTAGTGCCTTGTTCTAAATAAAAGAACGGATTTGAGTCGGTTCTAGTGAGGTGGATGAGCCTAGAGCCTGTTACACAGAGTGAAGTGAGTCAGAAATAGAAGAACAAATTCTGTATATAAATGCACATACATGGAATCTAGAAAGACGGTACTGATGAATCTATTTGCAGAGCAGGAATAGAGACATAAAATAGAGAAGAGACTTGTGGATACAGCCGGGAGAGGAGAGGGTGGGATGAAATGAGAGAGCAGCATTGAAATACATACCCATTTTACCATATGGAAAATAGATGGCTGGTGGGAATTTGCTCTGTGCTCTGTGACAACTTAGAGGGGTGGAATGGGGGAAAAGATCATAGGTACTTCTCTGGTGGCCTAGTGGTTAAGACTCTGAGCTTCCACTGCAGAGGGCACAGGTTCGATCTCTTATTGGTGAACTAAGATCCTATATGCCTTATGGCACAGCCGAAAAAACTGCAAAGAGCTTAACATGTAATAAATCATAATTATCTTTAAGAAAAAGATATTGTGGATCAGTGAACAGTGGGGAAAATGGAGACCACCAAATAGATCTGAGAGAGGTTTAGAAAGTAAAATTGATGGAACTGGATTAGGGTTTGTAGAAATGTAACCCTGAGGTTATGGCTCATTGGCAAGATATTTCAGGTACAGTTAATTTTCTCCCAGACACAGCAGTCAGAGAGAGGCATCCCACGTGGCTCTGTGGTAAAGAATCCATCTATTAATATAGGAGCAACGGGTTCAATCCCTGGGTTCAGAAGATCCTGTGGAGAAAGAAATGGCAACCCACTCCAGCATTTTCTTTTTCAGTCTGTTTTTTCAATTGAGGGGATAATTGCTTTACAACACTCCAGCATTCTTGCTACGGACAGAGGAGCCCGGCAGGCTACAGTCCACGGGGTCGTGAAGAGTGGGACACAGCTTAGTAACTGAGCACACGTAACACTCAGCGAATAACATGCACAGTTCCATCTTGGCTCAGTGGAAATAAATTCCTGTGGATCTGGGGGTATCTTTCTGCAGGTCAGGAGCGTGTTACAGGGAGGCGTGACCTTTGAGGATGTCACCGTGGCCTTCACGCAGGAGGAGTGGGAGCGACTGAGTCCTGAGCAGAGGGACCTGTACAGAGATGTGACCTTGGAGAACTTCAGGAACCTGGTCTCCGTGGGTGAGCATGGCTCCTTGGGGAGCGTCACTCAACGCCTGAAGCCTGAACCTCGTGGCACTCGACCCGAGTAGCTTACCAGTTTTGGCTGTTAGATGCTGTTTGCTTTGGATATGCTCACGGCAGGACAGAGACTAGGGCACGTGAGGTGCGTGTGGGCTGAATTTAAGGAACCCCCCCCATCTCAGGTTGTGTAAGAAGCATGAGGATAAGTGAGGGCCTCTTTCAGTTTTGTGGGTGGGGGCCTCTCCCTCCACCCCAGTTCTGGCCCTGATTTTTGGGAAAACTTCATCCTCCAAAAAAAAAAAGCATTAAAAAATTGTATTTGGATTGACAGCCCCTGGGCACTCCTAGCTGTATCTTCCCCATCATTGCCTCAACCCAAGCTTGACACACAACACCCACACTCACACATACACATTCCAACACGTAGGGACGCCCTCAGACACACGGCACTCACACAAACACACGCAAACACACACCGCGTTCCCACAAACACACTCACCAGCATCAAACTCCATTTTCCCTGAACAGGAGGAGAGGAAGCCACCAAACCAGGAGTGATCTTGCGGTTGGAGAACGGCGAGGAGCCGTGGACGGTGGCGACGCAGGTGCTGAGGAGCTGTGGCCCGGCAGGTACCCAACCAGGAGAGGCAGGGCTGAGGTCACGGGGGTGGCAGTCATCCTTTTCACTTGGGCCGCACCGCGCCCCTTGTGGGATCTTAGTTCCCTGGTCAGGGTTCGAACCCGTTCTCCCTGCACCGGTTCCTGACCGCAGCACGGCCAGGGAACTCCCCCCACCCCACCTTTTAGAAAAATGACCAAGTCGTTTAGCCTGAGTGGACCAAAGTCATGGGGAAGCTACTGACTTTTTTCTTTTTTGTAATGAGAGAATCTCCAGGTATTTCTCTCCACACAGCCACGTTCCTTAATTTTAACCTGACTTTTCCTTTAAAGTAAACTCTGTTTCTCCTCTCTTTGGGCTCTCCTCTGCTCCCTGTGGGTTCAACTGTGAAGCTCCCCGCACTCCAGTGTTTTCTTTCACACAAGGGCCTTCTCTTACAAAGGCGTGATCACGGGGGTTGACACTGGGTACTCAGCACTGAGTGTAATGCTAGTATTCGTCTATGAACGTCACTCAAATTTCATGAATTTTCCCAATAATGTGCTTCACAGCAAAAGAACGGAAAAAGTCGGATCCAAAATTCCGCTGCTTGACTTACATAGGAAAAGAATCTAGATGAGAAATCTGTATATGTACAGATGGGCCTTCCTGGTGGCTCAGACAGTAAGAATCTGCCTGCAATGCAGGAGACCTGGGTTCCATCCCTGGTGGGGAAGACCCCCGGGAGAAGGGTATGGGAACCCACCTCAGTATTCTTGCCTGGAGATTCCCCAGGGACAGAGAAGCCTGGCGGCCTACGGTCCACGAGGTCGCACGGAGTCAGACATGACTGAGCGGCTAAGTACACACGAGTTCACTTAGGAAAAAACTAACCAGAATGATACATTGCAGGTAACTTTGAGTATAAATCTGTCATGGAGCTTAAGCTCTATTTATCTGAAACTAAAGATACGGTTGTTACACAGCACGTTACCTTCAGTAAGCAGTCGGCAGGTATTCAGTTGTGGTCATTTGTCATAGTAAGTCCTGTTTTTGATCATTCTTGATCAGTATCACCTGAGGTTATACCTGCTCCTTCAGTGTTCCTCCATAAAGTTTCAATTAAGTTAGCTTCCCACAGACTTTACACCTGAAACCAGAATGATCTCTTCAACAGAGAATTTATAATATCTCATTCAATCATGTGAGTGGGGAGATTCACACAGAGCATTTCTTTGTGTTCTTTTTTTTTTTAATTATATGATTTATTTATTTCTGGCTGTGCTGGGTCTTCATAGCTGCACGGGCGTTTCTCTGGTTGCAACCAGCAGGGGCTGCTCCCTAGTCGCGGTGCTCGGGCCTCTCGATTCCGTGGCTTCTCTTGTGGCAGAGCTTGGGCTCTAGGCGGGTTTCGGTAGCTGTGCACACCCACGGGCCTAGTTGCCCTGTGGCATGTGGAATCCTCCCGGACCAGGAACCAAACACGAGCTCCCTGCATTGGCAGGAGTCTTCTTACCCACTGTACCACCAGGGAAGTCCATTTCTTTGTATTCTGTTTTAGAAAAAGACTGGGCCATTGAAGAGCAGAGTGGGAGATTCCAGGACATAGAGCAGAGCCTCAAGACTAAAGTTGCATCCGTCAACCAGGAGACACTGACCGAGCACGAAGACCTTGAACGTGACAAACCTAAAGAAATCTTCCTGCTGAGTGCAGACAGTGTTCCTTCAAGGGCCAGACTCCTTGAACGTGACTCATGCGGAAAACATTTGAAACATAGTTTAGATACGAAAAGCTATGTAAAAATTAATACGTACAATATATCCAAAAGAAGAATTGGCAATGATCCATCTAAACTGAAAGAAAACCAATTTTTGCGGAATGCCTATCGAAAGTCACTCAGTTCAAAATCATACCTTCAGAGTCCCCTAAGGACACAAGCCATTGAGGAATCCTTTGGACATAATACACGTAGACGGGCATTCAGCAAGAAGAGTAGGACAGATGAACACCAGAACACTGATACAGGAGACAAATCCTATGAATGTGACGAATGTGGGAAAGTCTACAAGCAAAAGCCCAACCTTGTCCAACACCGGAAAACTCATACTGAAGGGAAACCCTTTGAGTGTCAAACATGTGGGAAAGGCTTTTCCTGGAAATCCGCCTGCATTAATCATAAGAAAATCCACCATGAAGAGAAAGCCTACGAATGTGATAAATGTGGGAAGTCCTTTAAACAGGGCTCAACCCTCCTTCAACATAAAAAAATTCACACCGGACAAAAGCCCTACAGCTGCAACAACTGTGCAAAAGCATTCATCTACAAGTCAGATCTTGTGAAACACCGGAGAACACACACAGGAGAGAAGCCTTATAAATGCAACGTGTGTGGAAAGGCTTTTGCCCAGAAATCCAACGCCGTTGACCATGAGAAAATCCACTCTAGGGAGAGAGCCTACGCCTGTGAGCTATGTGGCAATACCTTCATCCAGCAGAAAAATCTTATTCAACACAGAAAAATCCATACTGGAGAAAAATGCTACGAATGTGACAGATGTGGGAAAGCTTTCTTCCAGAAGTCAAATCTTCACAGCCACCAGAGAATTCATAGCGAGGAGAAGCCCTACCAGTGTCAGGAGTGCGGGAAATTCTTTAGCCGGAAGTTAGGACTCCGCCTGCATACAAAAGTCCACACTGGACAGAAACCTCATGAGTGTTCTGAATGTGGAAAAGTCTTCCTTGACACGTCGTATCTTATCAAGCACCAGAGAAGAATTCACAACAGATACACGCCTCCCGCACATTAAAATAGGGCAATGCCCCCCTTAGAGGCTCGCCTAGAACAGCCCTCCAGGAGTTCCCAGTGAATGATCAGTAAGAACTCTCTGTCGGAGGGCAGCCTGGGGGTGCAGTGTATCCTCTGAAGATTGATTTTGTTTATTTGTTTAGCAACTATTAAGTACCCTTTGTATACCAGGGATTCTTTTAAACATTGACAATGTGGCAATAAACCAAATTGACAAAAAAATGCTCATGGAGTTTTGTTCTAGTGAATACAATCTGTGGTATCCACTTTAAAATTTTATGTATTATTATTTTTAATACATCTCTTTATTCTTTTTCAAAAAATATTTTTTAAAAGATGTATTTATTTATTTTTGCTGTGGTGGGTCTTCGCTGCTACACCTGGGCTTTCTCCAGTTGCGGTAAGCAAGGGCTCCTGATTGCAGGAACTTCCCTGGTTTTGGAGCACAGGCTCTAGGTGTGCAGGCGCAGCATTGTGGTGCACAGGCTTAGTTGCCCTGAGGCATGTAGGGTCTTCCCAGACCTGGGATCGAACCAGTGTCCCTTGCATTGCAAGGTGGATTCTTAACCACTGGACCACCAGGGAAGCCCTAAAGATTTTTCAGCGTGGACCGTTTTTTTAAATCTTTATTGAATTTGTTACAGTATTGTCTCTATTTTATGTTTTGTTTTTTTGGCCAATAGGCATGGGGGAATCTTAGCTCCCTGACTGGGGATTGAACCCACGCATGCTGCATTGGAAGGTGAAGTCTTTTTTAAATTTAATTTTTAATTTTGTTTTTTTGGCTGCCCTATGGGGCATGTGGGATCTTAGTTCCCCCACCAGGGATCAAACTCATGCCCCCTATATTGGGAGTGTGAAGTCTTAACCACTGGACTTTCAGGAAGTCCGATGTATTTTTTAAAAATGTAAATACTATCACTAATTGGGGACAATAAACATAAAATGGAACAACATAGTTGCATCACTAAAATGCCCTGGATGGATTATATTAGTATTAGTATTTATTTATTTGTATTAGTATATGCTAGTATTTATTTGGGAACATGATCTGTTAAGTCAATACATTTAGCAACCCAGGAGAAATATACTGAAAGTACCTGGTAAGTCTTCAAAGTTGGAAAAGAAAGAGGGACAAATAGATGTTTCACACCATGAAAATCTCTGCCCTCCTCCCCACTTCACTTTGTTTTCCAAGAGAAAGGGGAGATAATTCATCTCTCTTGGTGAGCAGGAGGAAAAACCCCAGGTTGACTCCACCCATTGTGAGCACCTAGTTTCCTGTCTCAACTACAAACTGGTTCTCCCTGAGGGCATTTGGCATCTGCCTCTGCAGAGACTGACTTGTCTCTTGTGCTTGAGAACGGAGGTCAGGGTGGAGAGGGAGACACTATGTATGTCTGAGAAATTGATGACACCGGTCTTTAAATAGTTAGATATTTTCAGAAACTGATTTCATGATCCCAGTCCTTGCATCTCCTAGAAAATCACTAAATCCCTTCATGGTGACATCAGCTCATGAGTAGCAGAATGTTTTGTAAAGTAAGCACTTGATTGCGCTGAACTCCCCCTTCACCAAAATCTCACATATTGACCTTCCCCCGCTGCCTCTTCGGAGCAGTCTCTCAGAGCTATCTGAGCCATAGTCCTCATTTTGCCTCCAAAAAAACTTAACTCATAGCTCTTACCTTGTACATCTTTTTTAGTCGATACCTGGAACCAGTCTGTCCATGGGTTGCATGTATTTTTTTAGTATTTCTTTGTTTGTGGTTTGGTTGCGGCATGTGGGATCTAGTTCCCTGTCCAGGGGGCAAACCCGGGCCCCCTGCATTTTTGCTGCTCACTGCCATGCAGTATCTTACTCCAAGTCTCACATGTCTCTGCTTAGCAAAAGCAAGGGAACCTGGAAAATAACATTTTTAGCTAACCAGGCTTTGCAACGCAGGAAGGTAAGCTGGTGGTGGTGGTTTAGTCGCCTAGTCGTGTCCGACTCTTGGCGACCCCATGGACTATAGCCTGCCAGGCTCCTCTGTCCATGGGATTCTCCAGGCAAGAATACTGGAGTGGGTTGCCATTTCCTTCTCCGAAGGTAAGCTAGAAGAGGATTAAAATGGGTGTTAGATTCACTCTCTGTCATGGACAGTCCACCCATGGAGATGGAGGTCTTCAGGAAGTTGAATTCCACACGACAGCAGAAACATCTTCCTGCTTCACGTAACATAACCACCCCTCATCTAAATGGGAACGCACTCACCCTCTCTCCCTTGGGGAAGTAAGTCTTCTGAGTCATTCCTTTCCTTCCTAAATGATTTCAGGTTCAGCTACTACCTTGTCTTTCTAGCTTATAACCTGGAAACAAACATTTAAACACCGACAGAACATGACAGATGTCACAGTAGGGGGAAGAGATAAGAATAAGGTGAAATTTGGATTAGACAATAAATTGAGTAAGAAAATATTATCAAGGGAAACAGGTATGGACGGTGACTGGAGTGCTCCTGAGGCAGGGATGGCCCCAGGCTAGGCATTTACAACTGCTCACACCTCCTGGGGCCTTGCATTCATTAGCAGCCCCCCCCGCCCCCTTCACATTTCCTGAAGCAAGAGGCCAGCGGGCTCCAGGACTACATATGACCAGTCTCCTGTCTCCCTTTCGAGATCTCCACCTCAGTATAAAATCCAGCAGTGGGAACAGGGTAAATCATCAGACATCAGGCATTTTTTTTTGGCAACAAGACTTGGACTAAACCCTGTAAAAAGATTAAGAGATCACTCACTTCTCATCCTTGGGGCAAGGGAGACAATGTTGTTCAGTTGCTAAGTTGTATCTGACTCTCTAACCCCATGGGCTGCAGCATACCAGGCTCCCCTGTCCTCCACTATCTCCCAGAGTTTACCCAAATTCATGTCCATTGAATCGGTGATGCCATCCAACCATCTCATCCTCTGCCACCCCCTTCGCCTTGTGCCTTCAATCTTTCCCAGCATCAGGGTCTTTTCTGACAAGTTGGCTCTTCCTATCAGGTGGTCAAAATATTGGAGCTTCAGCTTCAGCATCAGCCCTTCCAATGATTTTCTTTAGGACTGAACGGTTTGATCTCCTTGTTGTCTAAGGGACTCTCACGAGTCTTCTCCAGCACCACACATGCACAAAAGCCTTCATGAGGTCAAAAAATCAGAGGATAATGCCAGGCCATAATGAGTCTTTGGCCACCTGGTGCGAAGAACCAACTCTGGAAAAGACCCTGATGCTGGGAAAGATTGAGGGCAGGAGGAGAAGGGGACGACAGAGGGTGAGATGGTGGGATGGCATCACCAACTTGATGGACATGGCTTTGAGCAAACTCTGGGAGATAGTGAAGGACAGGGAGGCCTGGCGTGCTGCAGCCCGTGAGGTCGCAAAGACTCAGGACTTAGTGACTGAACACACACAATATTGAATAATGGGTCTTGTTTCTCCCAGAAGCCTGCACTTTGAGATTCGTCTCAGCTGAGGGGTGCATGTGCACCCCAGGGGAGGGTCCCAGGGTAGGTCAAGTGTGGAAAAAGAGTCAGATCATTGGCTAAAGGTAAACACAGACCCAGAAGACCTGTCCTATGTAAACGGCTTAACTGCCTCTGACTGCACTCCTCCTCTCTAGACCACCACGTCCTGTCTCTCTGGGTGTGCTTCTCTGCCTTGGTTCTGCCTCGACTACACAGAACGTCTCTCTGTGCCCTCCCGTGTGTTGCCGTGCTATGCCTCTAATAATAAACTTTGTACCTGCATTTACAGTTCTTGCCTTGGGGACTTCCCTGGTGGTTCAGCTTCCACAGCAGGGGGCACAAGTTCGATCCCTGGTTGGGGAACTAATATCCCACCTGCCCCCTCCAAAAAAAAAAATCTACAAATAACAAACACTGAAAAGAGTGTGGAGAAAAGGAAACCCTCCTACACTGTTCGTGGGGATGTAAATTGGCACAGCCAGTATAGAAAACAGTATGGAGATTCCTCAAAAAATTAAACATAGAGCTGCCACATGATCCAGCAATCCCACTCCTGGGCATGTAGTCAGACAAAACTATAATTTGAAGAGATACATGCACCCCTGTGTTCACAACAGCACTATTTACAATAGCCAAGACATGGAAGCAACCTAAGTGTCCATCACCAGATCAATGGATAAAGATGTGGTACATACATACTATGGAATATCCAGTTCAGTGCAGTTCGGTTGCTCAGTTGTGTCTGACTCTTTGCGACCCCAGCAAAGAGTGGCCTGCAGCACGCCAGGCTTCCCTGTCCATTGCCAACTCCTGGAGTTTACTCAGCCATAAAAAAGAGTGAAATAATGCCATTTGCAGAGATTCGGATTGACCTAGAGATTATCACACAAAGTGAAGTGAGTCAGACAGAGAAAGAAAATATCATGTATCACTTACTTTACTAAACTATGACACAAACGGACATATCTATGAAACAAAACCAGAGTCACAGGCACAGACAGCAGACTTGTGGTTGCCACAGGGGCTGAGGGGTGGGAGAGGGGTAGACTGGGAGTCTCAGATTAGCAGATGCAAACGACTGTATATAGGACGGATAAACAACAATGTTTATCCAACAATGTTTATCACATTGTTGAATGTGACTTGTGCAGAGCACAGGAAACTATATTCAATATCCTGGGATAAACCACAATGAAGAAGAATATGAAAAAGACTGCATATATGTATAACGGAATCACTTCGCTCTAGAGCAGAAATGAACCCAACACTGTAAATCAACAAGTAAAATAAACAAAAGATGATAGCTTACCACGACTTTCTTTTTTGGATATTGAGCTTTCTTTACATTTGACAGTGCCCTGGGGGAGAAGACAAGAAATTCACAAGAAGGCAAAGATAACTGGAGGCAAAGGAGCAGAGGATGTGGGTGTGGAGGGAAGATCTGGAAGCTAGGAGGCCTTGTGAAGTCATGGGTGAGGACATGAGAGAGGAAATCACATTATATATAAAGGGGCTAAATGAAAATCAAGCGTCCAGGGGATCATCGAATGTTGCAGATCTCTGGTATCCACGAAGCCCAGGAGTCTTCTGTAAACTCACTGCCCTTAAGGTTGGTTTATGTAAATCAGCATGTGTGACTCCACCTCTGGCTTCACCAGTCAGTGGTGCTATCCTGGTGTGAGGGAGACTTTGACCTTGGAACTGATGGCCTTCCTTCTTGTGGCATCTGTAAATGCAATGGGTTTTAGAGTTACTGCTTTATTTTTTCATTTTAATTCACCTGTACTTGTTATGATTTGGAAAGCAGCATGTGACTTGAGCCCTCCGTTTCCATTCACAAAACTTGGCTGTTACTTTTCAAAGGGCTTTACAACATGCCTGGGTAGGCTTATAATTTTGCTAGAGAGTTATTGCTTTTATTGCTTTCCCTGCCCTCAGTGACGCCCAAGAAGATCAAACACACATATGAGAAGTAGAGAGAGCATAGTAGGCGAGGTGACACAGTGACAAGCATATTATTTTGGACATTAACCTATGTGTAAACAAATTTGTATTTCATAGTTATGTATGTAGGACTGGAAGACAACACCAAAATCCTAATAGTGGAATTATTGACATGTGTCTATTTCTTTTTAAAAAAAAATTCCTTTATTTATTAAAAAAAATAAAAATGAAAAGTTCCTTTATTTATTTCTAATTCTTTTTAAAATTTTATTTTTAGCCGCTGTTACTTTTTTATTGAGTAAAAGAGCAGAGCACCATGCACTTGGGAAGCAGTTAGACGGAAGACACGAATTAGAGCCCCCCCTGGCAGATCAGACAATGCCCAAGGAGCCTGTGTCTGCGGGGGCGGCAAGGGGCAGGCACGGCCAGTAGGCAGTCGCCCACCGCAGGTGTGGGCGCTCTGCAGGGGCGTGAGTGAGAGGCGGTCAGTGGCCTGTCTGACACCCAGCCCCCTGTTAATCCTGGCTGCTAAACTTCACCAGCTTAACGGTGTTCATCCATGGGACGACGTCAACCTGGAATGGGCACAGCTTTCCGCCTCTTCAGGTGCGGCTGGCCATGGAAGGGACAGCTGTCTAAGCTGCCCTGGGACTTGGTACGTGCAGTCCGGCCAAGCTCCACGTCCAAGAAGTAGCTCGTCCCCGACACGACCTGCTTGCGGGCGCGCGCCACGCGCGTCGCGCGGCTCTGGTAAGCGTCGTTGCTAAACTCGCTGACCGCAACGGACAGCGCCTCCTGCACGCCCTCCTCCATCAGGCCGCCCAGCAGGCGACTCTTTCCAGGGCCCTGCGCGGCCGCGAGCTCACGGCCAGGGCCAGGGCGACGGTCAGGGCGGCCAGCAGGAGCAGCGGGGAGCGCGGGGAGCCCACCATGGTCTCTCGGATGCGAACACACTGCAGCCGAGGGGCGATCCCGGGTGCGAGCACCGCCCCGCCGGCCGCGGCGCCTTTAAGGCCGGGCCGCGGCGGACCGCCCCGCCCCTCCCACTTGGCCCCGCCCACCTGGCCCCGCCCACCTAATTCTTTTTTTTTAATTAAAAAATGTTGTTTCTTTTTTATACAGTACTTTCTGTCTTTCCCCCTTAAATGCTAAAAATAATACTTAAAAAAACCTTGTGCATAGTTCTGTTTGCTTTCCCCCACCTCCTCTTTCTTGCAGCTAACTGTATAAACTTGTCCCATATTTTATACATCACCAGGATTTTTTTCCCATTTTTTTTGTCTTAGTTCCCTTACCAGGGATTGAACCTGGGCCCCTGGTAGTTAAAGCCCCAGGTCCTAACCACTGGAACCCCAGGGAATTTCCCACCAGGATGTTATTTTTTTCCTCACCAGAACTTTATCACTTTGTACTCACAAAATCCTCTCAACTTTCACACCCTTACTCCTATGACCTACTGACACTCAGTACTGTAAGACTGTTCAAGCCTTGTCTACTAGGCTATGTTATATATGTATGAATATTTATAGTCTTATTCATATTAGTAACTTTAGCAACATCTTAAGATGCTTTTGAATTTTCAAAACCAAATAATTTTTTAATATACTCAATTTCCCATTAATTATTTCCCTGCAATTCCTACAAGAATGTAAAAATACAGTTGACTGTATTGTAAAATAGCAAATTTTGCCAGTAATCAGTCACAAAACTTTGTGAAGACCAGTCAATGGTCCATGTATTGGTTGGGGTTTTAACACATTTACAATGGAAAGGTATGCATTCATGTGAGGAACTTGAAAACACACAATTAAAATCCTTTACATAAAACAAAAAAATCCTTTACATAAAACAAACAACTCATATATACACTAGTGAAACATATGATGATACTCTTCATAATAAAGCAGCAGCTCTTATATTTTCTGGAACACCAGATCCCCATCAATTACTGAGTCGCGCCCCCAGTTTCTGATTCAGTTGGTCCGAAACGGGGTCCAGGATGGTTCCTTTCTAACCAGCCGCCGGCTGCTGCCGCCACTGCAGGACCAGCATTTTGGAAATGACCCCATTAACACGAAAAGCGATTTTCTAATCTCACAGGCTAGGACAACCCATCTCAGTTTGAGCTTCGGGGTCTGCTGCAGAGTTAGCATGGTTATTTCCCGTAAGAAGAGTTTCTGTTTGAACTTTACTCTCAAGCTCCTTGTCTTCTCGTCTCTGAGCAGAGCTCAGATTCTTCCTTCCATGGAGGAAGAGGGGCTGGGTGAATCAGGCAAGCAGATTTGTGCAAGAGTCATCTCTTTGTTTCTTTTTTTTTTTTAAGTTTAACCTTCTTTTTTAAATTTTTGTTTTACTTTTTGGTTGCCCTGGGTCTTCGGTGCTGTGAGCAGGCTTTCTCTCGTTGCAGTGAGCAGGGGCTCCTCTCTAGCTGCAGTGCGCAGGCTTCTCATTGCGGTGGATTCTCTAGCTGTGGAGCATGACAACTAGATGCTTGAGCGTCAGCAGGTGCGGCTCACAGGCTCCAGAACATAGGCTCAATAGTTGTGACTCACGGGCTTGGATGATCTGCAGCACGTGGGATCTTCTGGACCAGGAATCAAACTTGCGTCCCCTATACTGGCAGGCAGATTCTTATCCACTGAGCCACCAGGGAAGTCCAGAGTCATCTTTTTCTTATTCCTCCAGAGGGATCTCCCCTATCTCCACTCTGAGAGTTCCTTGCCTTTCTCAACAGCGCCTGAAAGATCTCATCGTGCGTATAAAAGAAGATATACCCAGTGTGAGGCCTAGCCTCCTGCATCACGGACTCTTGGATTTCTGATACTACTAGGTCATGGTATGTGAACCAGGCCTGCTTCTGAAAGTCGTAAACATCGCTGATGTGCTGGCCTGAATCTGGGGGGCTCCTGAGATGGCTGATGACACGGATGAGCTGCTCGGTGTTTCCTTTCACCCTTCGGCTTCAGTTTCTGTGTCCTTCCTGTCTAAAATTCCAGGGTTCATATCAGCACCCAAAGCAGTGAGGGAGTCCCTGTTATCATCTTTCTGATGATCCTGGAAGTCCTTTGCTATGTATTCCTGGGCACCCAGCTCCCTAATGCTTGGAGGTGATTCCTGTTGGGAGAATTCCTCAATGATTCTTTTCCAATCGTGCTGCTGCAGTTGTTTAGCCATGCCTTGAGATCTTTCTGGAATCCTGTTTTCATGAGCCTTATAAAACTCTTCAGTGAACTCCATGACACTGCCCACATCTAGCGCTATGAATGCATTGCTTGTCTCAGATTTCTTTTTTTTTTTAAGACATTTATTCAGCGTCATGATCAGACTATTACATTTAGCAATCAACAGCATGGGTGCAAAAAAAAAAAATCTACATTAAAACCCTTTGTTGGAATGCTTTACACTTTCCACAGAACAGAAACTAAAATAACCTGTTATACAATTAGTCACAAGTACAGTCCTCGATGTACACATACACATGAGTATTGTCTAAAACACGTCTTCTTTGCAGCAGCTAGGCCCTGCCACCACTGCGCTTGGCTGAGTTCACAAATCCGTTGTAACCTGTAGCTTCCCTGTCACTCCTCTGGCTCTCCTCGCCTGCTAAGCTCTGTTTCCTGGCAGTGATTAAAACCTTCTGCCACTGCCATAGCCACTGCGGCTGCTGGAACCACCATAGCCACCTTGGTTTCGTGGTTTGGCAAAGTATTGGCCTCCACCACCATAGGGGCCAGAACCTCTGCCTCCAAAGTTTCCTCCTTTCATGGGTCCAAAATTTGAAGATTGATTGTTGTAACTGCCAAAATCATTGTAGCTTCCGCCACCTCCAAAACTGCTTCCGTCATTACCAAATCCATTATTTCCATCCCCACTGCCACCGTATCCGCCACCACCACGGCTGCCACCAAAGCCACCTCGACCACTGAAGTTTCCTCCACGACCAAAGTTGTCTTTCCTACCAAAACCACCTCCACGACCGCCACCAAAGTTTCCAGAACCACTTCGACCTCTGGCTGGACGAAGCACTAGCCATCTCTTGCTTAGACAGGGCTTTTCTCACCTCACAGCTGTGGCCATTCACAGTGTGGTATTTCTGAATGACAATCTTGTCTTCAGAGTTATGGTCATCAAAGGTTACAAAAGCAACCTTTTGTAACCTTTTTGCCACTGCCTCGGTCAGTCATGATTTCAATTATTTCAATTTTGCCATACTGTTCAAAATAATCTCTCAGGTGATGTTCTTCAGTGTCTTCTTTAATGCCACCAACAAAAGTCTTTTTCACAGTTAAGTGGGCCCCAGGTCTTTGAGAATCTTCTCTTGACACGGCCCTCTTCGGTTCCACAACTCCCGTCCACCTTGTGTGGCCTTGCATTCATGGCCGCATCCACCTCCTCCAGCGCGGCGTATGTGACAAACCCGAAGCCTCTGGAGCGCTTGGCGTTTGGACCCCTCATCACCACACAGTCTGTGAGCGTTCCCCATCGCTCGAAATGGCTCCACAGACTCTCATCGGTTGTTTCAAAGCTCAATCCTCCGATGAAGAGCTTCCGCAGCTGTTCGGGCTCTTTGGGAGACTCTGATTTAGACATGACGGCAGTGGAGGCGGGGAAGTCTTCAATGATGCTTTCTCAGCGGCGTCCACGGGCAATCAGATTTCTTAAGGTCCGTATCTTCAGGCACCTCTTGGAGCTGAGCCTCTCCAAGACTTGGTGTGGGCTGCTGGTAAGTTCACTTGCATCTTCGCAGATCATAAGACATGTGTGTTCTTGATCCATCCCTGAGTCAGCTGCTGGCAGTTCCTTTTCTGCCATTTCTGAAGCTGTTATATTCTGTTTAGGACCGTTTTCCAGGTCTCTCTGCTGCTGTTCTTGGCTTGACCCTTCAACGATCTTCTGGAATGTTGGTGGTTCAGCATTCTTTGCCAAGGAATCACTGGATTCTGAGAGCAACTTCTCTGAAGGTCACGATGGGGCGAGGATCTCAGAAACCATCTCTGGAGAGACTTCTAGCATTTTGGAGTCCCTGGGAGGTGTGTTACTGGCAGTAGGAAATGGTAACTTGGTGCTCTCACTGCAATGAGAACATGAGCTTAAAAATTTAGGAATAGCAACCGGTTGGTTATCCTTCACCAGCAACCAAGCATCGTTAAAGCCATAGCGTTTCAGATGGACGATGAGCACTCTGGGGAGCTTACTGAATTTGTGCATTGCAACAGATGTCTCATGGGTGCATTCGTTACAGCCGTACTTGAGGTCTTCTGCCCTAAAGGAAAGATCAAAAGAATTCTGAATAGAGGACGGTTGTAGTTTTGTTTCTTGGGGAGGGTTGATAGAAAGATAATGACTTGGCTCCATCTTGAGAATGACCTGTCCACAGGCTTTATAGATAATGGAGCGCTGCAATTCAAACTCAAAGTTAGCCACAACGGGACAAACAAATGTCTGGCAGGCAGTGTTATCCGTATACATCTGTGAAGATGAATTTCCGTCCCCGGTTTCCCTGTCAGTCTTCAAAGCAATGTTTAATTTTTCCATGTCTTTTTTCAGCTGCTCTAAGCAGGACCCTAAAAACTCTTAAGCATCGTTCTGCACGTCGCCGGAGAAGGTCTCTGCAACAGCTGAAATAGCAATTTTAATATTGACAAGCAGCTCTTTCTTGCCCTCCAGGTTACAAATATCTTTTAAAGCAAGCAGCTGGGTCAGGCACCTAATAAAAGCATCAAAGGGAATTTTCTTCCACGATATGCCCTTCATGAGTAAGTCATCAGCAAATGAGGGAATCACAAACAGTGACTGTAAAATTGCATTCATGTAACAGGTGTTCCTCAGGTTGGGGAACCCTTGCCAGAATTGTTCTGGGTGAGTGTCAAGGTCATCCCATCTAGGTCGTCATGGCTATATATTTGTTCCGATGGAAACTCCAAAACTGTTTTGCAAGAGAGAGCCTGGATTGAAACAACACTCTGAGCTAGATTGGCGTTTTCAGTAGAGATGGTCTTGCATGTAGAGCCACATGTTGAATTTCTAAGTTTTTCTTGACCTTCTGAATGCAATGGTTCATCCTTGTTACTTTCTGTATACTCAAAGGAATCTGTCTTCAATTTCTTGCTTAGTTCAGGGTTACTTTTTTTCAGGGACCCTTCGTTCATCTCTTGAGCAGGTGATAGCATTTTTTCCCTCTTTGTTCCTTGATTTTCTAAGAGTCCTGTTCTGGCAAGTGTTGCTGACTTGAACAAAGTCATCTTCAGAGGGGAGAGAGTTTCATTTGCTTTTTCTGTATTAAAGGGTCCATCACGGGGTTTGTCACGGACTTGGTGAGATGGAGTTTTGTCCATTTCCTTCTGTGTCTTCCTCCCACCAAAAACACCCCAATCACGATTGTGTTTCATGGGTGACTGGGGTTTGTTTTGACAGACTGTGTCCAGGAAGGCCTTCGACTGTTCGGCACCCCCGTAGGACAATTGGTCAGTGAACAACCAGCTGTTGTTTTGCAGAGTTAAATGCAGACAGCTTTGTCTCTCTCCACCATGTGTAAGGCCCACACTTGTAATACTGTTACTGAGCGAAGAACCCGGATAAATCCTTCAGAGTTGGAGATGACTGCCAGGCTGATTTCCTTCTCTCCTTCCACTGTTTCCACAAGAGCTTCCCTCTCTTTAGTTAGCCTAGTCTTGCTCCAAATGCAAACAAAGCGGTGTATCTTTAGAGGACTCATCCTTTCTTTGCAAGGAAAACTTATGTAACCTGAAGAAAAAAAGGACACACATACACTTTAATCTAGAATGTATTATCAGTAGTGGAAAACCCTGTGTAATAATATTCATTCCATGTTCTCCTTAGGCTTAGGTAAAAGACACTTTTGGGGGGCTACTTACATGCTAAAGCTGTGGCAATTCCCTGATGACTCAGTGGTAAAGAACCCGCCTGAAATGCAGGAGATGTGGGTTCAGTCCCTGGGTCGGGAAGATCCCCTGGAGGACATGGCAACCCACTCCAGTATTCTTGCCTGGGAAATCCCAAGGACAGAGGAGCCACAACGAGTTGGACGTGACTGTGCAAGTTGGCATGGAAGCATGGTAGTTCTCCAGAAGACCTAGATTCAGCATACAAGCTTTTGGATTTTCCTGGTGGTGCAGTGGATAAGAATCTGCCTGCCAGTGCAGGGGACATGGGTTCGATCCCCCATCTTGGAAGATCTCACGTGCTGTGGAGCAACTGAGTCCGTGCTCTAGAAGCCACCACAATGAGAAGCCTGCACACTGCAATGAAGACCCAGCGCAGGCAAAGATAAACAAATAAGAAATTTAAAAAGAAAAAAGAACGTTAAAAAGAAAAGAATATAAGCTCTTTCAGGGGACTGTTAGGAGGGGTGGGTGATGAAGGATGGCTTAAAAGGGGGATAACTAATGTTACCCAGTCATGCTGCTGAATTTAGGTAAGTCAAGGGGAATTTCTATATCTGGTTCTGAGTTTCTTTTTCTGTGGCATTTAATTTTATTTATCATATCATGGTCATGCAGAATGAAGTCAACTAACCAGTTAAACCTGAGTTTTATAGCCAGGGAGAAGAGGAGGCTTAGGATTGGGTCTCTAAACATGTCCTTAGAGTGGTTATTTGCAGATCTATACAACTCACCATTTGTAAAGGGCAGTTCTGTACTTTACTGGAACAAAAATCTAGCCTCTTCGTTCAATGACTTCACAGTCCTGTCCCTGACTTTTCTCTTTTACATGCCAACATTTTCTTACCTTAATGATGTCTTTGTTCTAAGCACTCCTGATTATTGGGCAAATCGGTTTACCAGCGTTCTCCCGTCTGGGTTTTTATCTATTCTTCATATGAAGTGGAGGAGGACCCTATGGTTCTTTCCTCCCTTCTGCCTTTAGGCTGTGGAAAAATTTTAGCCAAAGAATAAGTTTAATCAGAGAAGTGAGAAAATGCAGAAGCAAAGGAAAATAGTCAAAGGAGATCAGATAGTAGTAGTTTAGTCACAAGCAGAGTCAAAGACTTTAGTTCCTTCTCAAGGGCTGTGGCCAATATTCTGAGCCGCATCCTGTGAGCTGTCTTGTCGAGACTGGAACCCCCACCGAATGGAAGAAACTAACTACATGATGCCCAGACTGTAGCCACAACACCAGTTCAGTTCCGTTCAGTCGCTCAGTCGTGTCCGACTCTTTGCGACAAGCTGCCACAATTCTGAGAACTGGCCTCAAAGAAATGGCAACGAACCACGGAA